CTGCGCGCGCGGCTGGCGGTGCTGTACCGCACGCGGGCCTATGCGCTGGCGCTGGCGCTGGCGCGCTCCGAGCGTGCCGACGCGGCGACGCTGGCCGAGGTGCGCCTGCAGTACGCCGATGCGCTGTACGCCAAGCGCGACTATGATGCCGCGCTGGAACAGTGAGTGGGCGGCGGGTGGGGGGGCGCTGATTGGGTTTGGAGAGTGGAGCAGTGGGGTTGAGGGGATGGAGGGGAGGTTGCTTTTTGGAAGAGGTGAATGATGGAGCGAGGGGGGGGGGTTTGATGGCATTCAAGGTCTCTCTGGGGAGTCTTGGCGCCTCGTGACGTGCACCCCTCCTCCACACAAGCGCCCCCCTTTCCATCTCCCCTCCACAACAACAGGTATCTGGGCACCATGGGCCACCTGGAGCCGTCGTACGTCATCCAGCGCTTCCTCTCCGTCCAGCGCCTGGCCAACCTGACCACCTACCTGGAGAAGCTGCACGCCGCGGTGTGGTCGAGTGGGGCGGTAGAAGGGGAGGATACATGGGGTGGGGGACAGACCACCTCTCCCTCAGCCGGGTCTTGAGCCTCGGCACCTGGACGGGACTGTGACTTACTGGGTACCCGTCCTCCCAGGATCACCACCAAGCAAACCCCACCCATGCCATGGATCCAAAGTTTCCCAATCCGCACATTCCCAATCCTCTTCCCTGTTCCCACCTTTCTCCCTTTCCCCAAGGGCCTGGGCAGCCCCGACCACACCACCCTCCTGCTCAACTGCTACACCAAGCTGGGGGACGGCGCCAAGCTGGACGCCTTCATCGCCGGCGCGGGGGACGGCGCCGGCGCGCCCGCCTTTGATGTCGCGGCGGTGGTTCAGGTCTGCCGCGCCGCGGGCTACTTCTCCCACGCGCTGGCCGTGGCGCGTGCGGCGGGTGACGACACCACCTACCTCGATGTCCTGCTGGAGGACTGCGGGCGCTGGGACGAGGGGCTGGACCACATGCGCGGCATGGGGCGGCGGGCGGCCGCGGCCGCCTTGCTCAAGCACGGCAAGGTGCGCAGGGATAGTCTATCTTGGTGGGAGGGAGGAGCTGCGCTGTTGCACCATTGGTTTTGGTTTCTTCGAGGAGGGGGTTTGGGTGTGTGGTTTGGAGACAGCAGATGCCCTGCTCATTCAATGGAACGGCTGTGTGTGCCTTGCTTTCCAGGCCTCGCGCGTGAGACTCCAGCCAGGCTGCCTCGGGGCACAGACGAGAGCATGGGCATCCGTCGTCACACCCCGCCCACGCGCACCGCCCCTTCCTCGCCCCACCGCCCACCCAGGGCCTGCTGGCGCACGTGCCGGTGGAAACCACGGCACTGGTCATGGAGCTGTGCGTGCCGCCCGGCGGCGTGGCGACGCGGGACGCCGATGCCGACGGCGATGCCGGCCCCGTGGCCAGCCTGGCCGACTACACACACCTGTACGCCGACCGGCCGGAGGACCTGCGCTACGCCTGCCTGACCATCATCAACATGGGCGGCGCGGGGACGCAGGCCCAGCGCTCGCTGTACCGCACGCTGCTGGACCTGTACCTCGCCGGCCTGCCGGGCCAGGCCGGCCAACAGGATGCGCTGGACCTCTTGAAGTGAGGGAAGG